AGTTGTTTGCTTGTTAGATAAACACTCCTTTAAAACATAAACAATAACATGAGAAGGTGAGCTAATTATAGCTAACAAAAGAATTTACAGATTGCATTTATCATAGCAAGTGACTCACTAGGATAAGAGAACAAAATGTGAAGCATGAGGATTGAGAGCTCTTTAGAACTCTGTAAAGGCTGACAAGGAAACTGAGAAAGGACAGTAAAGAAGAATACAATCTAGTAAGAAGCATAAACGTGAACTGTAATATCTGTAATATTTGGGTATGTGATGAGGAAAGGATTAACTAGGACAAACATGGCCAATTACAAGTGGAGCCAGCAGAAATTATAACAGCAACTGGGAAGTGATGGAGAGGGAAGGGATAACTACCGGGCAGTTTGAGAAAACCAGGCAGCGAGTCCAGGTATCCCCTGAGCCTGTTGTGGTTGAAAATCAATGCTCCTTTTTGGAAAATGGTGACAGCGATGGTTCCTCAGGGGACTCTAATGAAGGCCACACCCATGGCATCAAGGGTGAGTCAGCTGGGGAGGAGGAAGAAGAATAGAGGAGCACTAGTTATAGGGGATTCCACAGCCAGGGGAGCAGACAGGCGTTTCTGGACAGACAATGAATGTGAATCCAGGATGATGTGCTGTTTCACAGGTTCCAGGGTCGACCATGTCATGGAGCAGTTGCAGGAAATGTACCTGGTTAAGGGAGATCAGCCAGAAGTGTTGGTCCACATTAGTACCAATGACATAGACAGGAACAGAGATGAGGTCCTAAAAGCCAATTTAAGGGGGTTAAGAAGGAAATTAAAAAGCAGGACCTCAAGAGCAATGATATCCGGATTACTCTCAAAGACACACACTCGTGAGCATAAGAAAAAGAGGATCGATATGTAAATATGTGGCTGAAGAACAGGTGTAGGAGGAATAGCATCAGATTTCTGAGGATTTGGGGCCGGTTCTGCGGCAGATGGGATCTATGCAAGTTGGACAAGTTACACATTAATGGGACTGTGATTGATATTTTTGTACAGAGATTGGCTTGTGCTGTTGGAGTGGGTTTAAACTAGCTTTTCAGGGGGACGGGAACCTGAAAGATAACCTAAATTGGAAGGAGTTAAGTTGACAACAGGAAATCAAAAATTGCTCAGGAGAATGGAAGGTAAAAGCTGAACATCCAGTATGCTTTGAAAGCAGAATAATGTCAAAAAGAAAAAATAAACAGCACTCTATCTGAATTCACGCAGCATCTGCAAAAATGTAGATGCTCAAGATACAAAGATGTGATGTAATCATCATTACAGAGCTCATGGTGACCAGGACTGGGAACTGGATATTCAATATTTAGGAAGGACAGACAGGAACAAAGAGGAGGTGCATTGATAGTAAAGGATGGGGACAGTATATTCGTAAGGAAGGATCTTGGATCTGAAGAACAAATGTGGAATTTGTTTGGGTGGATTAACAAACAACAAGGGACAGCAAAGATTGATTAGAGATAGTAAGAACTGCTGATGCTGGAGTCAGAGACAACACAGTGCAAGGCTGGAGGAACACAGCAGGTTAGGCAGCATCAGAGGAGCAAGAAAGTTGACATTTTGCATCGAGACCCTTTTTCAAAAATGGAGAGTATGAAGGGAGCTGGGAAACAAATAGAGAGGAGGGGTGGGGCTGGGGAAGGTAGGTGGGATGTGATAGGTGAGTGCAGGTAGGTAGTGGTGGGGATTGGTCAGTGGGATGAGTTTTTTGAAGATATTACTAACAGAATTGGTAAAGGAGAGTCAATAGATGTCATAAAGTTTGATTATTAGAAGGCTTTTGATTAAGTCACCCACAGAAGGCTGGCTTGAAAGTTTAAAGCACACTGTCTAAGGGGTAATTCATAGATACAGATTAATGATTCGACAAAAATCAATTTAGGGATAAATGTGCCATTCTTGCGCTGGCAGGCAGTGACTATTGGGGTACCACAAGGAACAGTACTTGGGCCCCATCTGTTCACTGAGTGTGTGTATATATATATATATACATATATACACACATATATATATATTGTAAAACATTTGAAAGCGGAGACCAAATGCAATATTTCCACATTTGCAGATGATACAAAGCTGAGTGGAAATGTGTGTTGTGAGGTTGATATGAAGTGACTTCAGAAGTTTTTTGGACAGGCTTAGTGAATGGACAAGATCATGGCAGAAGGAATATCATGTGGAAAAATGTGAGGTTATCTACTTTGGTCAGTGAAAAGATGTGCCGAGTATTTTTTTAAGTAGTGAGAGATTAGAATGTGTTTATGATTAAAGGGAACTTGTTGATAAGTTTCTGAAGGCTAATGTGCAAGTACAGCTAGCTATTAGGAAGGCTAATGGAATTTATTGCAAAAGATTTGAGTACAGGAGTAGTGAAGTCTTGCTTCAGACCACACCTGAAGTACTATATGCAGTTTTGTTTTCATTATTTTAGAAAATATATCATTGCCATAGAGGGAGTGCAAGGATCATTCACCAGAACCGTGCCTGGGATGGCAGAACTGTCATACGAAGAGATATTGGGGAACTAGGCCACTATTCTCTAGAGTTTCGAAGAACGAGAAGTGACCTCATTGAAATGTGAAAATTACTTAAAGGAATAGATGTTTGCTCAGGTTGGGGAGTCTAAAACCAATTAAAAACAAATTAAAAATAATGGGAATGTTACTTAGGTCCAGGAAGATGATAAATTACTTTACTTTACTCAGAAGGGTGTGACCTTTGGGATTCTCTACCACAAAGGGCTGTGGAAGCAAATTCTCTGAGTCTGTTTAAGATAGAGTTTGATAGGTTTCTAATTTCCAATGGTGTAAAGGGGATGTAGTGAGTAAAAGTCGGATTTTGATCAGCCATGATTATTAAATGGCAGGGCAGGCTGAACAAGCTGAGTGGCCGACTCCTGTTTCTATGTTCTTAAATAAATAATTACTTTTTGTCTTCGTGAAGAAGATATAGAAAATATTATGCAATCAAAGGACTTGTGAAACTGAGGAATGAAAACAAAAATAGCATTATTAAAGAGGGTGCTACTTGAAATGTTGACCGGATTGAAACATAATAAAATCTTTGGACGAGATGAACTACAACCCCATCCCAGACAAACATAGCATTAAAGATAATGGACACATTAATGGTTACATTTCAAAATTCAACAATCTGTGAAGGCTCTACAGACCGAAAAGTAGCAAATCCTGTCTTCTAGGCCTTGTTCTGTAGCCAATCACCTAAGCATGGCTCAGCGTTACCCACTAGAGACTGGGGACTTAAATAAATCCACCTATTATTTCCTTAAGGTACGCTTCCTGAAAAAATTCACTCAGAAATTCCTGAAACAATGTGACTAGCAAGTTAAGTTGAAATTCATGCTACATTTCCAACTGTCAAGTTATGTTTGGATTCTCTGAGAATCTCATGAGCACGTCTCAGAAAGTGAAAACCAGTGTCATGGGAACATATGGAAGAGAAACAGGAATAGACAGTATAGTCCTTTCAGCCCACTCTGCCATTGTGGACTCCCCGGTCACCAAAACCATGGTTGATCTTCTGCCTCAACTTCACTTTCCCACTCATTCCAAAATCTCTTGATTCCTTGAGAGACCAAAAATGTTTTTGCCTCAGTCTTAAGTAATATTCAATGATGAGGGATTCACAATCTTGTGAAGTAGAGAATTCCAAAAATTTACAACCTTCTCAGTGATGGAATTTCTCTCAAGTCCTAAATGGTTGGCACTTTATTCTATAACTGCGTTCCCATGTTTCCGATTTCCCAATCAGGAGAATCAGTATCTATCCTGTTAAACTCTTGCAGAATCTCCGATGTTTCAATGAAATGACCTCCCATTCTTCCAAACTCCAAACAGTATGGACATTATTTTCTCTGATTCCCCATCACAGGACAATCCTATTTTCCCAGAAACCAATCCAGTGAATATTCACTGTACTGCTGCCAATGCAGGCGCACAGCACACAGTGTTCCAGGTGTTATCTCACCAAATCCCTGTGCAATTGTGGCAGAATTTCCTTATTCTTATACTTATCCCCTTGGAATAATGGTGAAGCAAGTGGAAATCAGCCTGGACAAATGAAACCCAACAAAACTAGGACCCAGGGGTCCAGCTTCAGAGTGAAGAGTCAGTCCTTTACATCTGAGATGAGGAGGAATTTCTTCAGTCAGTGATTGATGAATCTATGGAACTCACTGTTGCACAGGGCTATGGAGGCAAAGTCATTGAGTGTATTTAAGACAGCGATAGATAGGTTCTTGATCAGTAAGTGGGTCAAGGGTGAGGGGAGAAGACAGGAAAAGGGGGTTGAGAAATATACAGCCACGATCGACTGGTGGAACAGACTTGATGGGCCAAATGGCTTAATTCTGCTCCTATGTCTTATGGTTTTATGGTCCTACGGTTACAGTTTAAGGATATGCGGTAGGCCATTTAGGACTGAAATGAAGGTACATTTCTTCAACCTGAGACTCATAAGTCTATGGAATTCTCTGCCACAGAAAGTGGTGGAGGCAAAAACATTGAATTTTTCAAGAAGGAGTTAGTTTTTGTTCTTAGGGCCAAAGGGATTAAAGAGTTTAGAGAGAAAGCAAGAAGACGGGACAGAGTTGGAAGATCAGCCATGGTCACATTGAAGGTGGTGCAGGCTCACAGGGCCAAATGGCATATTTCTGTTCCTATTTTCTACATTGCTTTGCTTCCACATTAATTCTATGATGGCGGGTAGCAGTCAAGTGTAGTTTTCCCCAGTGATCTCAATGAAGAACGCCATACAAGCTACACAGATATTGGCATGTGATGCTGCCTGCTCCCAAGCAACCAACATAACTATGTGTGACATTGAATGAATAAATTACTCCCACAAAACATTTTTTCCATTTTTAATACATATATTTCTGCAGCCATGAAGAAGAGAGAGAAGATACTGCAACTCTCAATTCAAAGACATTGACAACTTCGGTCGATCAATACCTTGTGTTGAGAATTTACAATGAACCATTCTCACTGCATTGGGTTTCAGGACATCTCAGACAATGAGTATGAAAATCAAAAACACAGAGTTATTACCCTCCAGGTTTCCTCTGATGAGTGACTGCTTTTCAACGATGATATTGTTGATGTTGCTGTTGAAGTTGCAGTTTTCGATGATGTTGCAGTTAACAATGATGTTGGAGTTGATGTTGTCGATGGTGTTGGGTGGGACACACTGTTGTTGGTTCACTGCATTCTACTGTAACACTCTGGATCTCGCCAGCTTCAAACATGACTTGGCTGGTGCAAGTAGCAGCTTTCTATAGATATAGAGAGGGGGGACTGGAATTCAGTCATAGTGCTCCAAAAGAGAACAGGTCTCATCATAACACCAATTCCAAACTAATCGGCTTTTCCCTTAGAATTGTCATTGTCAACAAATCAAATATGCATGCAGCTAGTCTTCTGGTGGAAAGTTGTAAATCCCACCATCACCACCCCATGCCTAGCACCGTCGTTAATTATTCATTCACAGGAAGAGGGTGTTACTGGCTAGCCCAGCATTTATTGCCCAGAGGGCAGGTAAGAGTCAACCATATTCCTGTGGGTCTGGAGTCACATGTAGGCCAGACCAAGTAAAGATGGCAGTTTCCTTCCCTAAAGGGCAATTGCAAATCAGATGGAATTTTCCGACAGTGGATTCATGGTCATCATCAGACTTTTAATTCCAGATTTTTTCTGCATTGGATTCAAATTCCACCATCTGCCATGTTAGGATTCGAACCCAGGCCCCCAGATCATTATCTGAATCTCTGTTAATACCACTAGACCAACACCTCGCCTATGGGCACCCAGACAGGCATTTTCTCACTGCAAGCCAAAAGCAGCCTTTGTGTTTGTTTCCCCTTCCCCCGTTCCACCACATCTCCCCCGCCTCAAACCCAACCCCCAACAACCACGTCCCTCTCTCAAGGAGATGTCTCAGTCCAGACTGAGTGGCTCTGCCATGGTTCAGTGACACCTCACTGCAGGTTGTTGTCCAGACTGTCTCGGAAAGGCAGGAACTCCGGATTCCCAGAGGTGATTAGGGATGTCCTCCAATGTGGCTGTGGTGGTCTGGATAGAAGCAGCATTGCAGGTCAGCTGTTGTGTGGTCCATGCCTGCTCCAGCTGCTAGAGGATGAGGGGGAAGTCTCCTGTACTCCATACGGGTAAACAGGACTGGCTGGTCACAACCAATTAACACTTGTAAGGGCATGAAGTGAGTGCAGGGAGATGTCAGATAGAAGGATTGCATGCATCAACATCAGATAGGCAATCGGAGTTGAGAAAAGTGAGGGGCAACTGACTGATGTACATAAAGTCCTGAATGGTCTTGGCAAGGTGGACATGGAAAGGATGCTTCTTTTTGTGACGGAGCCGAGAACGAGGCGGCACTGTTTAACAATTGGGGATCACCCTTTTAGGGCAGAAATTAAGAGTTTTTTTGTTTCTCTCAGAGAGTTGTGCAAGTTTGGAATTCGCTGCCTCAGAAGGCAGTGGAGGTGGTATCATTGGATACTCTAAGGCAGAGACAGATAGATTCTTGTTAGGCTACGGGATCAAAGTTTATCAGTGGTATGGGGGTGAGGAATTCAAAACACAGACATCTTATTGAATGTTGGAACAGGTTTTGAGAGGTTGAATGGCCCTACTCCAGCTCTTAACCCGTGTTCATAAGCAACAGAATGCATAGGAGCCACCTCATGTGGTGGATGTTGTACCAATGGCATGACAGAGTGATTGGCAATCAATTACTGGGGAGGTCTCAGGATCTATAACAGGCATGTGTTCCCATGCCCCCATTGACAGGGCACTCAACCAATATGACTGCAGGAGAAACATGCAAACAACAGAAAGGAATGTACACAGAGCGGAGTGAACATTCCCAAACCTATTACTGTTTGAGCACCAGGCTACACAGTTTAACTTTCTTTAGCCACATCCCATCTAACATCCCTCTCTAAGTCACTGTGATTCTTTGCCAATGCCCACTGCAGACCAGCATCTTAGTTCAGTGTGGTACAGAAAAAAAACTGATAAATGTTTCGAGGAGTTACTTTTCTTCAGCAACAGAAACTAACAGAGATCGAACCTCTCGGAATAGAAACGGCCTGCTTGCCTTTCGAGCCACAACAATTCTGCAGTCAATGAACGGTCACTGAACCCAACTCTCACCTACCAGAACCGGATGTCAATCAAGTCCTAGCTGGTTTGCAGCACCCAATGTTGCTGCAATCTATTGAGCTGAAGGTGATGTCTCTCCTGCTCAATGTCCTCATTCTCCTCTTCAGGAGACTGCTCAAGCTCTCCCAGCCTCTATCATGTCCTCTCATTGCCTGCTCCAGTTGCTCAGAGTAGAGCAAGCAAGGAATATCAGAGAATCAGAGAATCCCTACAGTGTGGGAGCAGCCTTTGCAGCCCATGGAGCCCACAACAACTCTTTGAAGAGCATCCCACCCAGACCCACTCCCTACCCTATCCCTGTGACCCTGCATTCCCATGGCTTATCCATCTAAACTGCACATCCATGGACACTATTGGCAATTTAGTGTTGGCAACCCACCTAACCCGTATATCATTGGACTGTGGGAGGAAACTAGAGCATCTGGAGGAAACCCATACAGACATGAGAAGAATGTGCAAACTCCACACAGACAGTTGCCCAAGGCTGGAATCAAACCTGGGTCCCTGGTGTGGTGAGGCAGCAGCACCAAAGTCTGAGCGCACCGTGCCTCCTTTCCACTCCCAATATGTGGTATATTGGGTGGGGTGGGGACACGGAGGGCTGTAGGAGGAAACACTGGCACTCTCATCCTTACCACCTGAAGACCACCTCTACAATTTAGTCCTGGACACCACTGTCAGGCCCACTTCCACCATCAAGGTCACGATCGTGGTGATCACCCTTCCTCAGCATCTCATGTCTTCCCATGCTCTATTGTCTGTCCCCCCCCACCCCCTTTTCAGTGAGATTCTTCCCCTTTGCCAACTTCAACTCTCTACAATTCCAGGTTGCTGTCTTCAAACCCCGACGTGGAGCTCCCCCATTTCTCCAGCCTAGCAATATCCCCTGGTAACACCCCATCCCCTTGACTTTCATCCCACTGACCCCTAGGACTGACAAGGGCCCACTCCCCTGACCAGGCTGGACGGCACGAAACTGGGGAACTGTATATTAATGAAACAAGGTTTGGAGGTAAAAATGGTGATAACGAGTGATGATCCAGTAGAAAGAATCCCATCTCGCCAATAAACACTTGGTTGGAAAATGGGACTTTTTGGTCTCGGCATCAAGAAGGTCCCCACTGGACACCTCACCTGAATTTCCTGATGATTCTGGTCCCTTCCTTCAGAGGCTGGGGAGATTTTATTTCCTTGGATACTGATGCAGATAGATGCTTGTGATATGCACATTGATCTCATCACGTGAAAAGTAAATGCATTCGCTAAAGTTAATACAGTTGGCTTAATGATGTAGTCATAGCCAAATCTGTGGCTAGTCAATGATTTTTATCGGAAACTCTGTACTAAAGGCTCCTGTCCACTGTTTTATGACAGCAAAGAAGGAAGTGAGGAATTTTATTACTTACAGTATCTTAGGGACTTTCCAGCTGACATCCCACCAAGTCATTTCTGTCATTTTCATGGCATACAGCTTTCTGGACGTCAAATGTTAATTTTACCTGGAGCAGGAGTTCTCCGATAGGGACAATCTAACAAAGAAAGTGTTAGATTTGTGTCATCCACAGGCGTCATATCAAAGAGAATTTCACAAGCATTACATTTAGGAAAAGGAAGAATTATTGCAGCGATCAATACCCTGCATGTTGCTCTGGAAAGATCTGAGAGTATAGCCCTTGTTGTATCTGTCTTTGTGTTGCTGTCTCTCTCTGCCTCTGCTCTTTAAGCCCATGACTTTAATTTTTGCTTCACCTTCTGTTCTCTATTTTCTAGAAATAACTAATTTTACCATGCGATTATTGCCCACAGTAAAATTCTTGCAAATTAAACAAATAAATAAAATTCATACCCTTAATAGTAATTTCTAAATCAGAGATGAACCAGAGAAACTGGCATTATGATACTCACAGAATCAACTGTACTCTTGGTTACATTAAAGAGGACATTAGTTGTAAAATTTCCACTCGATTTTTTTAACTGAGGCATGCAGTGCCTCGGAAACTACAGGAATGTCACAGTTGTCACACATTTGTTCCAAATCTAAAGGCAAAGCAGTTTGTGATCAGTGCATTTGAAATCCACGTTAACATGAATCAACATTAGCTGGTCAACTTGAGAAAAAAATCAGATTATTATTAGTTTTGACGACACCTCAGTGCTTACAAAAACAGTGGAGAATCTGGACTGCGGCAAGGATGAGGGGAAAAATCTTTATTCTATCTGTTCTGGCTGAACGCTCCTCATTCTCTTTGTTTTTGTGTTGTACTCAATGTCTATACACTTATGATCATGGAAGTAATAAGTAAATTACTGAACAGTGATGTGACCTAATTACAGAACCATACCAGCTTGTCTTTCTTTGTTTCTGCCAAGGGATGTCATAGATCATACAATCAAATGTTGTCAATATGTATAATTAACTGCTCTTTATCATTTTTGGAAATGCCTTAACAAAATATCATATTTCACAATCACTTTCCATGTTGATTTATGTTGTGATTTCACTTGTTGTAGTGAAACACTGTTAATCTTTGTTTGGCATTGCAAGATACAATTCAGAGAATAAATTGTTGCACAAAATGTCACTATTAAATGACGAGGAGTGATTAAGTAAAGGACCCCGAGAAAGTCACTCAATATTACCTGGAGAAGTGGGTGAGGCGAGGAACCCATAGCAAGCAAGGTGAAAGTAGACAGTCAGAAACTGCTCCAAATTCATTGGAGCTAATTGGAATTGGTTTTTGCTCTATAATAAAGAAAGGAGACGCTAGTTTGGTGAGTTTAAGGTACGCAGTCTCTTCTCTACATAACATCTAAATATTGCTAAAAAACAGATTCGAATTTGAGCTTTCCATCCTGCACTCATTGAAACTAGGACACAAGAAACAGACTTGAAAGCTGAGACACCATTTCACACACAGCAAGAGAAGAGGGCCATAATTAGCATTGGAGGTGCAGAGAGAACATTTAACTGTCAATCTTAAATCTCAGACCGGGCATGTAGATTCTGGTTGCTCAGGGCACTGCCATGAGGATGCAGCAGAGTCTGGCTGTCTCCGAGACCCTTTTTTTTTAAAAGATGTGTATGTATGTATAAATTATTTTGTAAACATAATCTAAGGCTGAGCTTCCCCAGCCCACATGGTAACAATATCTTTCCTGCGGTAAGAAGATCAAAGCCATAACTAATACTTTAGGTAGGCCTGACCTAACCAAGCTGCAATTAAAGCAAGATGTTACTACTTCTTTACTCAAGTCCTCTTGCAATAAAGGCTACCAATCCATTCGTCTTAATAACTTGCTGCACCTGAATGTTAGCCTTCAAGTGATGCATTGACAAGAACAACTTTGTACATCTACACTTACTGTTTAAGAAATACTCTGCACATTTTGTTCCTCCTAGCAATGTGGATAACCTCACATTTTTTTCACATTATATTTGATTCCATCCATCATGTTCTTGCCTATTCATTAGGCTTGTCCAAATCCTCCTGAAACCACTTTGCATCTTCCTCACAACAGGCATTTTCCACCAAGCTTTGAAGCAACCATAAATCTGGAAAGATTACATGCAGCCGCCAAATCTAAATCATTGATAAGTGTTGTGAACAGCTGGGGCCCAAGCATCCTTATACTATCTCCCAATGTGAGAATAACCCGTTTGTTCCTACTGTTCATTTTCTGACTGTTAGCCCATCATTACTCCATGTTAGCTCGTTACTTCTTATCCCTTGTGCTTTACTTCTGCTAACCTATCTTCTGTGGGCGAACCTTATCAAAAACGTCCTTTAAGACAGAGGGATAAGAGAACTTTCTTCTTACAGTAAGGTTGTGGAACTTTGGAAGTCTGCCTCAGAAGATAGCAGATTCATTAGATGGTAGAGTCATTAAATAGTTTTAAAGCAAAGAGATCAAGGGCCAACGTAGATTGATGAAATTGTGAAATTTAAAAGGCAAACGGATCAGCTATGATCTAAATTGAAGGAGGAACAGGCTGGACATTCTACTTTCTGCTCTTATTCTGGGTATTCATAATGATTGAATTTAATACACATCCATAACAACATTGTTATGAGAATGGGGTGGCATGGTGGCTCAGCGGTTAGCACTGCTGCTTCATAGCACAAGGACACAGGTTTGATTCCATCCTCAGGCAACTATCTGTGTGGAGTTTGCGTGTTCTGTCTGTGTCTGCATGGGCTTCCTCCCACAGTCCAAAGATGCGCAGGTTACGTGGATTAGCCATGGGAAATGCAGAGTCCCAGGGATAGGGTAGGGAGTGGTTCTGGGTGGGATGCTCTTCGGAGGGTCAGTGTAGACTCAATGGGCTGAAAGGCCCGCTTCCACTCTGTAAAGATTCTACGAGAAGGGTTGCAGTACATTTCTTTTAAGTATAAAAGAAAGCGAACAGATGTGTCGGCTGAATAACAGAGAAACAAAGTCTTGTAAAAGAGCATTCACCTCTCAGGAAAGGACGAGTCATGTTTAACTAAAATCTCAAAACCTTTTGAGGAAATTATTGACATAGGTCAATTAAGATTGACATTACACTTGGATTTGCAAAAGGCTTTTGATAAGTAGAGGAACAGTGCATTGGAAGTGGGGCAATCTTATATATTCCATTCATTCATAATAAGTCAAGCCTGCCATTAATGGTCAACACCACTTCACTTCTGTAGAAACCTACACATTTAATTTCATAAATAGGCACATGCAAAGATTGTTACGTAATGAATAGTTGGTCCTAGTACTATTTCACTAGGGAACATCTTCTTACGTGTGTTTATGTTCCATTGCTAAATATGCCCATAACAAAGAATTACTAAAAAGAAAGCCAATATGTTATCCATTCAGTTTTGCGGGCACCAATTAAAACCACATTATTGAAAACGTTACAGGCAAGCGGTTTTCAAATTGTATTGTCTTACAGCGAACACACCATACATTGCTAATGATGCCCAGTTACCATGTGACTTTTAATGCTTCACCAATGGCCCATATGTTTCTAACAGCCTTTCATGCTGAAGGCTAATATGAGATTGTTTGAAGCGCTAAAGATTATCAGTGGCTCAGAGTAAATGAAGACAAATCATCACTCACCTCACTTTCACCTGGTCTATCTCTGACTCCTCCCTTCCGTTCCTCGACATTTCTGTTTCCATTTCTGGGGATAGACTCACCACTAATATCCACTACAAATCCACTGACTCCCACAGCTACCTGGACTACACATCCTCACACCCCACTTCCTGTAAAGACTCCATCCCATTCTCTCAGTTCTTCTGTCTCCATGCATATGTTCAGATGAAGCCAACTTCGACAAGGGATCCTGTGACATGTCCACCTTCTTCCTCAACCGAGGATTCCCCAGCACCGTTGTCAGCAGGTCCCTCAACCAGGTCCGACCCATCTCCCACACTTCCGCGCTCACCCCTTCTCTTCCCTCCCACAACAGCAATAGGGTTCCCCTTATCCTCACCTACCATCCCACCAGCATCCACATCCAGAAGATCATCAGACACCATTTCCATCACCTCCAGCGAGATGCCACGACCAGACACATATTCCCCCCCCGCCCCGTTGTCCGCCTTCCGCAGGGACCGTTCCCTCCGGCACACCTTGGTCCATACTTCCTTCACCCCCAACACCTCCCCACAGCCCTAGGGCACCTTCCCCTGTAACCGGTGATGGTATAACACCTGCCCATTTACCTCCTCCCTCACCAGTATCCAAGGGCCCAAACATATCTTCCAGGTGAAGCAACACTTCACCTACACTTCCCAGAATCTAGTCTACTACATTCACTACTCACAATGTGGTCTCCTTTACATTGGGGAAACGAAGCGTAGACTTGGCGACCGCTTCGCAGAACATCTACATTCTGCTCGCACGAAAGACCCTGAACGACCTGTTGCCTGCCACTTCAATGCACCACCCTGCTCCCTGGCCAACATCTCTGTCTCTGGCTTGCTGCAGTGTTCTAGCGAAGCCGAACATAAGCTGGAGGAACAATACCTCATTTTCCGTTTGGGGACCCTGCAGCCCTCCGGATTCAATATTGAGTTCAATAATTTTAGGGCCGAAACTCTCCCATGTCCCAGCCCCCTACCCCACACACCAGGCCTTGTTACCACATAGCCTGCCACTACACACCCCCTGTTGTTAGTCACTAACAGTCCCCATTAACAACTATTCACCCTCCCAGCCTGATCGTTAGCCTGTGTCCCTTTGTCTGTCCAACTGTCTTTCTCTCTCTTTGGGCTCTATCCTATTGTTTACTCCCTACCCCACCCACCTCCCTATTTTCTGCATATAAACTGACGTTTTCACAGCCACCATCAGTTCTGAGGAAGGGTCACCGGACCCGAAATGTTAACTCTGTTTTTTGCTTCACAGATGCTGCCAGACCTGCTGGGCTTTTCCAGCAACTTCTGTTTTTGTTCCTGATTTACAGCATCCGCAGTTCTTTCGGGGTTTATACATTTTTATGCAACACGTGGTTAGGAATTGGAATGCACTGCCTCACCATAAGCTTGTTTCGACACTAGAAGCAGATTCAATGGGTGCTTTTAAAAGGAAATGGATAAGTAATTAAAGCAAAAAAAAACGGGGCAAGAGATTGAGGCTTATTTGTGAGCAATCCAAATGATTCTGTTATTCGATTGACTTCCTTTTGGGTTACTGCTTTCTCAGCCCCCAGTTCCCACAGTCTACTTTTAAGAACGGATATTCCATGACAGGGAATATCCATCGAAGAGTTGGTTGATGACATCATCAGTGAGGAGGCCACGGACCAAGACAGAGAAGTTGATAATTCAAACAAAGTAACCACCAGAGCATCGACCTGACTGTCACTTTGCTCAAGAATGAGGGACAAGGCACCAAAGCTGTTTGGGTGGTACAGGTACACACCAGCCAGATCAGTACAGATTGTAGCACGAAGGGGCGGTGGGGGGGTTGGGGGGGAGGGGAGGTGCCAACTCCAGTGCCTCAGGTTTGCTGCAATGCTCCAGCAAAGCTCAGTGC